CAGGCCTGGCCGCCGCCGGAACACCATCTTTCGTCGCCCAAAAGACCGAAGTCTTGTAAACTGAAGCATAACAGTTAAAAAACAGACCCCCAACCTATCTAGGTAGTGCTTTGCACGTCATCACAGGCTCAGCCCGCACAGGAGCCGCCTTTTCTGTGGTCACTCCAGGTAATTCCGCACAACTCCGCAAGGGAGAATGCAGCTCCCGGGGGGGGGGGAGGTACAATCCGGCACGTACCTCCTACTGCCTTCGGGAGAAGCCCAAAACCCCAGAGTGAATGCTAAGAACGACGACAGCTGTATTAGCAAACAAAAGTTATGCCAGAACACTCTTGTACACATCAATCTTTATAAGAACAACGAACATTTTTAAACATTTGATTTTTATCAAAAACCTTCTTGTTTTTCCCAGCTTTATTTCTGGGAATATTTTTTAGTCCTTTTGGTTTAGTGCTCTTCTTTAGCGGGACAGCTTTTTCACCAACAAAGGCATCATCAGAGCACTTCTTCAGTGTGGTACCAACTCTGTCCTTAGGAGCACGGGGCCGATCCGGACTTTTCTGCGGTGCTTTCCACTTATCTCCACAGCGCTTCACCCGTATCTTCCTTCCCAACAGAACACTCTCGTGGAGTTTCAGCGCCAGATGTACAGCATCCGTGTTCTACAGGAGCAGGCATTCAAGTTTAAAAGCAACATTACTTCCAACCGGTCACTTTCAAATGAACAGTGGCCTTTAATTTGTGTAAGCAAGATTTTACAACAGCGAGTGCTCAAACTGCTCTGTGTATCAAATGACACAGCCTCTCTGCTCAGCTCAGCGCACCCACGCAGCTCACGCATCGAGGCGCAGGTACCTGAAAATGGGCTACAAAACAGCTTACGTGAGATATGAAAGAGGCGGCGAGCTGAGGGAGAAACTGGGGAAAAAAGGTATGGTGCTGCAGGAAATAAACCAGGGCAGGTGTGGCTGGGAGGCTGCCCCAAGGAAGCAAGCGGTACTGAATCACCCACGGAGAGCCAGTAAGCAAACAGGCTGCAGTAAAGAATTCCACCCATATTTTGACACATAAGAAGTGGAGGACACTGCAGTTATACCAAGCAAACTCATCTGTCCCTCCTTTAAGTCTCTCCCTTAAAGTTAATTTCTTTCACCCCAGCGTTTTACAACTTTTCTTTGTACACAATCTAAACCGCTTTGCATCTGCTTCCACAGAGCTGGTCTTCCAAGCTGCTTTTAACATACACAATGATGCTACCATTTAACGTTGTACACAACCCCCCCAAAAAATTACTAAATAAAATAAATAAATGTAAAAGGCTACAAAGGCAAACCCCGACGCAGAGGCTGATGAAGCCCCGTGTCCCGAAGCATGCCACCCGTACGCACCTCAAAGAGCACGTAGCCGAAGCCTTTGCCCAAGCCGGTCTTTCTGTCCCTCACAACTCGCACACCTACGACATCTCCACAGACAGAAAAGTGTTCTCGCACAGCATCATCGCTGATGTCTGCAGGAAGCACAATGACACAGATGATGGCTCTTCTGTCAGACACACAGCTTTAGAAGCCTCGCCCAATTCAGGTACACAAACATACACATTTAAATATATATATAGAGAGAGAGAGAGGTACACAAACACCAGCAGTTCAGAAAATCCCAGCCAGTTAACAATGCAGACATTACAAAGGGCTGTTTATTTCAACAGTTACGGATTTTCCGGCTTTGAAGAGTACAACATAAATCACCAAGAAGAACGAAGGCAAAGACCAAAATAAATTTGTCAAATAATTTCACTTATGGTTTGAACACAGTGGGAATTCAGATTCGTGCTACATTTTTGTAGCTCCTTCTTACGCCAGAATCTCCTTCTAAGAACTAATGCTGATGATAATGAGCTTGAGCTGGCAGCTTTTGAACCTAATGCTCATTGACCGAGCTGTGAATTTTAGCTGAACGGGGGAGAAGGGATGTACGGTTTCCAACCACAGTTGCTGTATGATTGTTCTGGTAACGGCCAGATGTGTGAGGCTTTCTCAGTCTCACGCCTACACGAACAGACAAGCATGACGTACCAACACAAAAATACAGGTTGTTCTCTGTTCCGTAGAGGCACGCTCCATACTACGGTAAATCCCTTTTCACCGATACAATCGCACCTCTGCTAAGGGGAGGGGCTGAATTCACAGCAGTGGGGCTTAGGTGGGCTGAGGATGGCTCCAGCAGCGTGAACCTTTCTCAGAGCACTGCAGATGCCCGAACGGTTTTTTCCTGCGGGATGCTCAGAGAACGCACAGTACTGACGCAAGCTCGACACAACGGGCGTTAGCAACGTCACCACAGTCAGATTTGTCACCTACCCAGGTTTTCAGACAGGTCGAGTTTTAGGCTGAAGTCTAAAGCCTGTCTGGCTCAGCATTACTGTCAGCAGTAGGCGACACTGGCCCTGCGTCAGGGCACGCCCTCATCCAGTGTATTTACGCATCCGCACCACCCCCAAGTGAGATGCTCCTCCAGAGCATCCTGACTCCATTCCCACCCTCACAGGGACCACACCTGATGGCTGTCCCTTCATCTGCTCTCCAGCCTACTCAGAAGCAGCTGAATATTCATCAATCCCTGAACTCAACAATACATAAGCACCCCCACAGGGGTAACAACCGATGGCCAACAGCTGCCTGGACAGAGTCACCCACCCTGTGGCTCACAGACAGCACCAAAATGAGAAGCCACCACTGTGTATCACTACTTGAAGTAGTTCACAAACAGGCACCAGTACATGTTTAACAGTTCAGAAAGCTACAGCCTGTGCAGTTTAGTCATATTTATTTAAAAAACCACAAAAGTAAAAACATTTGCAGTTCTAGCTACAATAAAGGAAACAATTAACACGCAGAACTTGCCAGTAACTTACAACCCCTTTAGGTTAAAAAATAAAACTTCTATTTAAAAAATTAATTCCAGCAAAAGATATTTAGCTACCTAAACATGCCACCCTAAATACCAGTAAATAAAAAAAACTAATGTCTATATATTCCATAAATTTTAAGTAACGATGCACAACGATTCATTTTAGACTTACCATATGAGAGATTTCCCAAGAACACAGATCGTTTGTTGTCATGCTAAAGAAAACAAGAGGTACAAGAGAGTAAGTTATTTGTTACAGAAAGAAAACAAAACAGAAAAGGGGCTCTTTAGTCACACATCTTACTTACCGAACCGCTTTTTGATGCAATGTCAACCCTGATGTGAAATCCATTAGCAATTTCCGTTCCATTTCTTTCGTAGACAAAAGCAAACAGGTTTCAAAATGAAATGAGAAAGCGTTACTTAATTTACAAGGTCACTGCATGGCATTATTCCAAAAGCAAATTCACATTTAAGTTTGACAAAACATTTTATTCTCATTCAAGCGAAAGAGAGGAAGTAGTTGAAATTTATCTGTAAATCTACCTCAACAGGGAATGAGGAACAAAACGGTGACTTACTTGTTTAGAGCCTTAGTGGCATCACCTTCTTCCTTAAATACAACATAAGCGTTGATGAACTTCGCATTAGGGTGCACCTTATGCCTGGAACGTGAAAAAGACACATGTTGTTTAAATGATCCTCGTGGTGTGCAGGGCACAAGCGCTTCTTGTTAAACGCCCTTCTGCCTCCTCTGGCTTTGTGCACCGTAACAACGCCGTTTCCCTCAAAGGTCAAGCTAGCCCCTTATGGCCAAGGGAGTCTCACTGTGCAGCTTATACAGCCTGTATAAGCACCCTGATCAAACTTCCTCAGCTCGTAAATACATCCAAAGGCATCAAAGGCTATTAGCATCTTCCTCCTTCCTAAAACGTACGAAATACAACCCAAGATAAATTACTAGTACACCAGGCACATAATTCTCTCACTTGTCAAGAAATCTTACATACACACAAAGGCAATTACAGCAGTCAAGGAAACAGAAAATTAAAAAAATAATACAGCCAAACATGTAACAATGACACTTAAGAATTATTTTTGCCTTGAAAAATAAAGCATGAAATTCTCAAGAGGAACCTACTTTATTGCTGCTAACTTTTTGGATGAAGTATCTTCTGCTGGAACCTTTAAGATAAAAAGAGCTTTAGTTAAGTGGGCCTACTGTCAATTTATCTCAAATACCTGGTCTTGAACACAGGGAGCAATGCAGCCAATGCAGTGACCAAATTATGGAAGAGGCTATTCCTAGGGAAGACCTAGAAAGCCCTTGGAATTAGACAGCTTGCTTTGACTTCGTCTGTTACGTTTCTTGAGTTCCAAGACTGTGCTCTTCAACTGTTTTACAGAGCACACTGATGTACAGCCAGTGTGACTTTGCTACTGTGATTTAAAACCAGGTAAGTAATGCCTCAGCTCAGCGAGCAACAATACAGGCACTCTCCTTCCAGAGAAAACACAGCTCTGATACTATCAGCTGCTGCTACAGAAGAGTAAAATGTGACGAAAGGAAAGAAGCACCTGTGATGCCTCTGTGATAACATCTCCAAGGCTGCTTCTAATGGCAAAACATACACACCCAAACCCACTTCTGAACTAAGGAAGACACAACCCTTATGAATACTACCCTTTAAGATCAAAAAATAATTTTATTATATAACATTAGAGGAAATAACGTACCAAAGACCGGAATCGAATGGATTTTATTTGTCCATACTCTTTAAAAAGGGATTTCAGTTCCTAAACAGAAAATATTACAAATATTCAATATATTTTTGCACCCTGGTAACAAGAATTATTGTTGAATATATATTCATAAGATTGTTTTTAACACTACTTTCATTTTACTTGTAGGAGGCCCATTAAAGGGCTACTAAAAATATGCAAGTAATTTGTAACACTTTCTGTCTGTCTTGTGGCAGCTTCTTCTTCTACAGATTGCCAAAACTGAATTCATGCCCCTTGCTACGGAAGAAAGTATAAATGTAACGTATTTTATGCAAGAATCTGAAGTATCATTTGCATCCAAAATTAGAAACAAACTAACTCTGTAATGGTACCTACACTTATTAAGTCGTTTTTCACTGAAAAGGAAGCTAACCCATTCTACTGAAGAAAGAGCAACTGCACCACTGCTGTAAAAAGCCTCACTCCAGCAAAACAGAAGTGATTGCCTCCGATGGTTCCTGGTAATAAGCATTATTTCCTACTTTCCCAAAAAGCGATTTTAGTCACAAATACGTGTGACTTCTCAGCTGGAAACACCCCTTCAAACGAAGGACTGCTGGAACTCTTTTCATTCCTTTAGCTGACAGAACCCACGCACGTACCTTAACAGTACAGCTGACGGGCAAGTTCCCAACAAACACTGTTCTCCTGTTCACCGCTTCGTCAGGCACCTGCTTCACCTTCTGCTGTTTTACAGTACTGCCTGTGTCTGAATTGACAGTGCTTTTGGTGACAGCATGAGAAGCCTTTTTTTTTTTCTTCACTTTGTTTTGAGACAGTTTTTGCTCCTCTTCTTCATCTGCCTGCTCTAGAGCGCTCTCTCTTATTAGAAAAAGACAAGCAAATTATCATTGATGGGAAAAAAACCAGAGCCTCTGTGGTCAAAAAATTGAAGCCTCCAAAGATAAAACATTTTAGCTTTCATTTTAAATGATTACGTTCAACACAAAAATTTCAAACCTTATTTTGCTTATTATGCATTAAACAAACAGAGCTGACCATTCTGGAACACGTAAAACTATTTACTGTCCCCAGGACACTGCATTTGTTATTTAGTATAAGTAATAAAGAATTCAGAATTAAATCATTTTATAACCTCTAAAATTGAAGAGGCGGGGAATCATCTGTCATTTTTCCACTCTAGAACTAAGGAGAGATTTAATTCTTCCCAGTATCCGGGAAACTCGGAACAAACAAACCTTTGGGATCCTAACAAATCCCTATCTATACAGACCTGCCATAACAGCACAAACAATAAGCCAATCTGAAGAAGCCTCTGAAATCACAGAATGGTTTGAGTTGGAAGTGACCTCAAAGTCCATCTAGTTCCAACCCCCCTGCCATGGGCAGGGACACCTTCCACCAGACCAGGTTGCTCAAAGCCCCATCCAACCTGGCCTTGGACGCTGCCAGGGAGGGGGCAGCCACAGCTTCTCCGGGCAGCCTGTGCCAGTGTCTCACCACCCTCACAGTAAAGAACTTCTTCCTAATATCTAAATCTCCCCTCTTTCAGTTTCAAACTGTTACCTCTCGTCCTGTCACTGCACTCCCTGATCAAGGGTCCCTCCCCACCTTTCCTGCAGGCCCCCTCAGGTACTGAGGCCACTGTAAGGTCTCCCCGGAGCCTGCTCTTTTCCAGGCTGAACAAGCCCAGCTCTCTCAGCCTGTCCTCGTAGGAAAAGTGTTCCAACCCTCTGACCATCTTGGTAGCCCTCCTCTGGGCTCGCTCCAACAGCTCCACACAAGACAGACGTGGAAGGCCACCGACACCGAAACAACAAACAAGATTCATGGGCGTGGAAGACACAACGACACACAGAGAGAGGACAAAGCGTGAGCCTCGAGCTAGAACCGAGCAAACGGCATTATCCAAATCAGAGGGCCTTCCTGCCTGCACTGACAGCGTCTCGGTTCAAACCCTCCGGAACGGCCAGCACAACAGCGTCGTTCTGTGCCACAGCAGAGGGCAAGGGTGGCAAGGACAACCAGCTGCCTGGGACAATGCTGAAACTGCATCTGCTCCCTCGACTGTGGGTCTGCTGGATAAAGCCAGCCACAGGTAGAAAGCACCATGCCGTGCCAGAGAGAACTTTTCATCTTTATCTACAACCTCCAGCCCTGTTAGCTCTCTAACGGGGGATTTGCACTTCGTGGGCCTGGAACTTCAAGAATTTGGAAGTACCTACCACCTTCTGGGGCATGCCACCGAAAATTTTCACAATTTTCTTAAAAACAATCTCCTTAAACACAAGGTTCAAGATGAATAGTAGAACAGAACTTTAATGTTTCACTGAACTCATAATCTTATGATTAACCTAGATGTTGGTTCTTTTAATCTTGCTATAAAAAGGTATTTTCTACTCACCTGTTTGCCAACTTTTTCTCTGCTTTTGAAAGTTCCTTCTTTCTCGCTTTCTTTGCTTTCTTTGCTTTTGTAGGAGGTTCTTGTATGGCAGATGAGCTCTGGTCTTCTGACACTTTCTCCGCTTCATCTGTACGCTTTCTTTTCTTATTTTTCTTAAAAAAATAAAACAAATTAACTTGAAAAAGCGGAATTCCACAAT